CAACCTTAGTTAAGGCACAGTAGATATTTGTCTATTTCTACCCAAATTAAGGAAACAACGTGTGTTGGTTGCATTTATGCTGTGCATGTGAGTGAACACATATGCCTACACCACTGTTTTTATTCCATCATAAAAACCATCACTATAATGCTCCAAAATTACAAACAGACATAACGCAGTAAGTTCAATAAAAACTAGTCGAATTATAAAATAATAATACTTTCCAGTCATAAGGTAAAATTTTATTTTAATTTTGGCCTTATACGATTTATTCATTAAGATAAATAAAAAAATAGAAAATATACTATACATTTGATTTAACCTTGTCATAAGGTAAATAAAGAAAAAGTCGAAAATATACTATACATATGATTTTACTTTTTTTTTTCACATACCGTCAACGTATTTTTTTTTTTTAAGTCAATCGGTAAAATATTTTCAATTATGTTTCATGTCGGGAGTATTAAATATGGGTATCCCTCTAACTAGTGTACCATTAACAAACCAAATGTCCTTCATAATACATCGTTTTCCTTTTTCATTTTCATGTGCCATGCCATTGAGTTTAAGGTAAACTATCTGTACTAATATTACAGAAAAGTACAAGCTCTCACTATAAGAATAAACTACACAGACATGCGTACTTTATGATATGTCGAGCCTAATCAAATAAAGTTCGACTCTCGTATAGAACCGTGCCTTTCGTGTCTTTAACGTGCTGCGCTTCAATTTTGATCTTACACCTCATAAATGTTTTTTCCCCCTACCAAAATGTAACAAATGTGCCAATGATGTTTAACACTTTCTTGCGCCATTTATGAGACGGGTCGTTCTAGAAAACCCTCGAAAAAGGAATGGTTGATCTGAGTGCCCTGCCTCAAACTATATCTGATCATGTGTTAACCTAGCTCAAAGTTAAATATATGGGGGGAAAAACTATCTTTCCAGTAATCTGCACTGGTTATTAGAGAATAGATAGGATTACTGAAGAGAAAGATGGGTTTTTGTACAGTTATATAATAATAACTCTCCCCCTTCTTTCACTTTCTTATCATCTCCAGAGTTGAAACTTTGCACTCAAGGGCCTGAATCACGCCTCCGAGAGGAAAGAAGTGAACACCTCAATATATCTCCATGAAGAATCATTAAATCTTAGTGCCTAGTGGCTTTAATGTATGCACATCAATCTCAAGTTCTCAACAGAAACGAAAAAAAAAAAAAA